TCTGTGGACTTCTCTGATTCTTACTGTTCTGGAATGCCAGTAATTCTTAAGTTGTTCCTCTTCATGTTATCCAGCATGAATCTTAGACTCTTCAGATTTTTTTATCTTTTTTTCAGTTTGTTCTTCTATCTTAGCAAAAAGAGGAAGACCCCCAACAAGAAGGATTGTCACAGTGGCAACAGCAATGGGCTCAAATATAACAATGATTGTGAGGATGACACAGGACCAGGCAGTGTTTCGTTCTGTTGTGAATAAGGTTTCTATGAGTTAGCACCTACTGTAGTGCACCTAACAAACAAACAAGCAAAATGGTGTATACATTTAAAAGTTAATATAAATAGTAGATATATGGGTCACCAAATCTGTACCAACAATGGTGAATTAATAGCATATGAATTAGTAACATATCAGTATCCTGTCATATTCTCAAACAATCTTATTTATGGCCCTAATGCCTTTCCCCCACTGATCTCTGACCAGAATGTCTTCCTCTTTTGCCTTCTACCCCAACCTTCTCCTGTTCTATGTCCAGATGGAAAGCATTGACTGACCATCAAGATTCAGCTCAACTGCTTCCTTTCTATGAAGCCTTTCTAGGAATGTCCTGGCCGACCTCCAATCATCTCCTCAGCACCATGTACATAAGTCTATAGTAGGAGCTGCCATACTTTATTGCACTGATTTGTCCATACATCTGTCTTCCTTTCCTAAGGTACAGGAATCATGTCATACTCACCTCTTTATTCTCACACTTAGCAAGCTGACTGGTATGTATTATGGACTCAATTTTTTTTTTTTTAATTTCACATGGTATGGGAATTCTGTTTCATATTTACTTGAATATGTCATGCAAATAGTTTAACTTTACCTATAGTAATGTGGCCTTGTCATGTTTCCTGAGGAATAACTCTAAACCCTTGGGTTTTCCTGAGCACCTTTGATAATGTAAACAACACCTGATGATGTGTTCAAATGACTGGGGAGCTGACTTGACAAGAAACACCACTATGAAAAGGAAAGAAGCACGAGACAGTCACTGTGTAATGAAATAAATAAATGATCATGACATGGTTGGCGAAAGACATCAATACACATGGGAAGGTGTTGTTTTTGTTAAATACCATCAAATTAGTTTCAGCTCATAGCAATCCTTTATACGGTTTCTGAGGAGCAGCTGGTGGATTTGAACTGCCAATCTTGTGGTTTGAAGCCTAGCATTGATCCTATAGCACCACACCAGGAGTTCACATGGGAAGGTAGGTAGCATGTAGTTTTTCTGACACAGGATTTTTCCATTGAGAATCCTCCCAGATCTTGCCCTGTGTGACTCTTCTTGGAGTTGTCTCATATTTGTATCCTTTTGCTACAAAAGCTCTGTAATCATAATTATCATACTTTCTGTGAGTTCTGTGATGGAAATGTGCAAACAAATTATGTGCAGAAATCTTTAAGATATTACAGAAGGCCAAACATAAACAAATTGAAAGGAATAGTCTGTTCTTGAATAGAAAGACTTAGTATCATAAATAAATCAAGTCTCCCTAAATAAGCCTATAAATTTGAAGCACTACACCACCAAAAATAATAATGACAGAAATATACACAAAATAGATAACCTGATACTAAGTTCACATGGGGAAAAAAAACAAAACAAAAAAAACCACAGGCAAGAATAGTCAGGAAAACTATGAAAAAGAAGAGGAATAAAAATATACAGAATTGTTGTTGTTGTTAAGTGCCATCGAGTCAGTTCCAACTCATAACAACCCTGTACAGGGTTTTTGAGGAGCAGCTGGTGGGTTTGAACTGCCAATCTTGTGTTTCACAGACTAGTGTGTATCCTACAGCGCCACATCAATAGTCTAGACTAACTCTAGTAGGAATTAAAAAATCCATAAAGATTGTGGTACTGAACTATGGATTAGGGCAGGGATTGGCAAACTTTTTCTTTAAAAGTCCAGATGGTAAATATTTTAGATTTTATGAGTCATATATCTCTGTCATAATTACTCAAATCTACTACTGTAACAAAAATGCTGCCATAGACAGCACATAAACAAATGGTTGTAGCCCAGTTCCAATAAAAAAATTATTAATAAAAACAGGTAGCTATCTGAATTTAACCCATTTGCCATAAAACCTTGGATCAAAAGAATCCAAAAATAAACACAGATATATGTGGTTAATTAAGCTCAATGGGGTTTTCAGTGGCTGATTTTTCAGAAGTACTTTACCAGGCTTTTTTTCCCCGGCATCTCTGGGTAGACTTGAAACTCCAGTCTTCCAGCTAGCAGCTGAGCATATTAACAATTTTATCTGATAGTATTCACTAGGTATCAGTGGAAAAGATAGATTGCTAATAAACTTGTAAGACGAATGAATATTCATCTGCTGTGCAGTGAATTACTTACTCCTGTTCTAGCCATAGTCTTTATAACTCCCACCAAATGACTTTTCCATGATGTAGGAGAAGGTGAGTGAAGATGCTAATAGATTATATGATTCAACTGTGAGCGATTGTGGTGCTTGGGCAATTTTGCCCTCTTGTTGTCATGTGAGAAGGAGGAACTGAGGATATCACTACCATCAAGGAAAAGCCAGGAGTAGACCCAGAGATCCCCACACATTGAACTGCCTCAATCCAGGAGACAAAAGAGTTGTGACATCACAGAAGTGGCAGAGGAACAGCAGTAGCAAAACCAAGAGCCAAAGCAGTGGGCTTCCCAGCCCACAGAGCAAGTAACGCTGAGTGCCTTCAGACAGGAGGCTCGCTTGTGAAATGAGGTGCCTTCAGGTACTTTATTTGGGGAGCTAGTTTTGCTGACCTGTGGATCTAGACCTGAGCACCTTCAGGCTGAGGCTATGGTGGAGTGGCATGCTGTTTCGGCATTTATCAGCAGCTAAGAGATTTGTGGAGTCCTGGTGTGGAGCTGTGGGCTAATGTGTCAGACTGCAAAGCTATTTAAACTGCAAAGTCGGTGGTTCGAGCTCACCAGCCACTCCTTGGAAATCCTGTACAGGGTTTCTATGGGTCAGAATTGACTTGACGGCATATAACAACAAAAGAGATTTGTGGACTCCTGGTGTGGCACTGTGGAATCAGCACTGGACTACAAAGCACTAGGTAGATAGTTCAAAACCACCAGCTGTTCCTTGGAAACCCTATAGAGGGTTGCTATGAGTCTGAACCAACTTGACAGTAATTAACAACAACAAAAAGAGTGTTGTAACATTGCCAGAGCAGAGTAGAGGCCAGGCCAACAGGCTGAGAACCGGAGAGAGGCTTGCCTGTGTGCATGACTGGGAAGAGATTGTCCTTACCAAATAACTGTGTCCTGAACATTTCTGAATCTACATAGTAATTTACTAGCTTCCTTAATAAATCTCATAATAATGAGTATTGTCTGACTTCTGTGTAGCCATTGCTCTGATCTTTGAACCTAGCAGATAAGTAGAGGGTTCTGTGGGAGGGATGACTGGCGTCAGTATTGCTGAAGAAGGTTGAAGGGTGGAGGGATGTCTGGCCTCAGTGTCACAGGAATAGACTGTTGCCTGATGAGTTTGATTCTCCTTCCCTCTGGTGAAGTCAGAGGATGTTAAACATTGCCTCCACATCAATCTTACTCTATCTGAAAAGAAAAATAAATCTGGATCCTTATTTACTCCTTAAACAATTCTAAATAGATCATGAAAAAACAAGTACTAGAAGAAAATATGGAAATGTCTGTAGTGTAAAAAACAAGAATGGAAAAGGTATTTCTAATAAGCATGACTCCCAAATCCAGAATCCATCAATGAAAAGTCTGAAAAACTGAACTTCACAAAAATAAAAATTTCCGCATGGTAAAAAAAATTATTATGACTAATACAAAAAATTTTATAAAGAAAGAAATATTGTCAGTTCACACCACAGATCCTACAGCTAGTGATTGAAATAGCAGTTTATGTCATTCCTGTAGTCTAGTTTCCCACGTGATTTTTAAGTAATGATAACTACCAATATTTTTGTGATGATGATAACATTATTTTGATTATTTTTTTAACACAAATCAACAATGCCTTTAAATGAAGATCAAAGACTTGATTACTCAATTTATGGAAAAACCCCAATTTGTACTCTTTTTGTCTAAACATGAGCTAACCCATGTGCAAGTCTCAAAAAGTACACTGAGTTCTTCTTGCAACATTGTTTGTTAATGATTGGCATGGTGACCCAGTGGGATTAATGTGCATAAAATTATAACAATTTAAATTTTTTTCTTTCCGTAATCACTACTATGTAATTTTTATGGTTATTTTTTTTTAACTTTTCATCGTGAATTGGGTGAAGAACGGATCAGTTACAGAGCAGATCAGTTTTCCATTCAACAGTGCATGCACACTTTGTTACATCTCACTGATTGCAATTTCCACAATGTGGCATCACTTATCACACTTCCTCCCTGTGTTTCCTGGTCTGTTTCTCCTTCTTTCTGAACGCTTCTGAACTTCGTCCTCGGATAAATGCTGCCCTATTAATCTCAAATGGTTGATCATTATAAGTTGTGTATACCTCCCTAGTATTATTTGAAAACTGAGGTATGGGGGTGAGTTCATTTCCAGACCTGCATTTAAAAAAAAAACATACTGGGGGAAAAAAGGAAGTCTTTATTCAATAAAGAGACTGTGGTTGCTGTTGTGTGCCGTCAAGTCAATTCCAACTTATAGTGGGCCTGTATAGTGTTTCCGAGGAGTGGCTGGTGTGTTTGAACTAAGGACCTTGAAGTGAGCAATCCAGTGCTTATGCTGCAGCGACAAGGCTCATAAAGAGACTGTTGTTGTTGCTGTTAAGTGCCATCGAGTCGGTTCCTACCCATAGTGACCGTGTATAGGGTTTCCGAGGAGTGACTGGTGAGCTTGAACCGCCGACCTTGCAGTTCAAACAGCTTTGCAGTCTGGCACATTAACCCACAGTGCCACACCAGGACTAGAGGCTGTTAAAATTGTGAATGAACAAAGATTCACTTATTCACAAAGCATTCTTCTATGTACCCATAATCCTCAAGCAAGAAAAAGGAAAAACAAAACAAAAAAGAACCCTTTAATTGCAAGAATAACTCTTATACTAGAACAAAGATTTTTTAAGTCAATGAAATTAAATACAATTATTTTGGCATTGATACAGATAACTTTATAAATATAATGATGAAATATAATTTAACAAGGATGAAAAAATAAATTTCCTTTGAGCTAAAAAAACAGCTCACTTACAAAATAATGATTGCTTTTTCTACTAAAGAATAGTAAAGAGTTGATCAAAATGATCTCATCAACTAACAGGTAAGATTATTTGAAAATGAAGCCAATAAATATCTCTGAAGTTGGCTTACACAGATCTCCTGAACTATAGAATAAGAAGGAGGATAGGGAAGAGCCTTTAGTCAGGCCTCACTGTAATGCATGTAACATTGACATGTAGAGATTATGTTGCTGACCTTACTAAAGGCACATAGCTCATGTGTCTAGCAGTGATGGCAGAGCCCCTGTGAGTCTAGTCAGGTTGGGCTGGTTCCTGAGGTGATGGGAACAGTGAAAGCCTCAATGCCACCCTCCCACAACTCTGAGAAAGGTAAAAGCCAGTGGATGAGAAGGAGAGCATTTCAGCTCTAATGGCAGTGTTGTCTAGAAGAACGAGGAGACTGAGTGAACCTCAGTCGGTCTATGATGTGTGAGAGGTCCGGCTCAGAGTACAACCTTTGGGTTTTAGTTTTGTCTCTATTGTTGTTGTTGTTAGGTGCCATCGAGTTGATACCGACCCATAGCAACCTTATGTACAGTAGAATGAAACACTGCCCGATCCTGAGCCAACCTCACTACTGTTGCCATGCTTGAGTCCATCGATGCTGCCACTTGGCCAATCCATTTCGTTGGGGGTCTTCCTCTTTTTCTCTGACCCTCCACCTTACCAAACATGCTATCCTTCTCCAGTGACTGTTCCCTCCATTGCTTTTTGTTTTTGTATTGAAAAAAAATATGTTTAGAATTAGCCAGCTGGACTCCATTTGTTGTTGTTGTTGTTGTTGTGAAATCGGTCCCGACCCATAGCGACCCTGTATAGGGTTTCCAAGGAGCAGCTGGTGAGCTTGAACTGCCGACCTTGCAGTTCAAACGGCTTTGCAGTCTGTCACATTAACTCACAGCGCCACACCAGGACTCTGTTTAGATGATCCCAATTTTGTTGGCAACATCCAAAGCATCATAGTCAGGAACCAGTGGAACATAGGCCTTCTCTTCTCCATCAGGCCTGAGGAAGGTGTTGACCTTGGCTACATCAATGTCACAGAGCTTCTTCACAGCCTGTGTGATTTGGTGCTTGTTGGCCTTGACATCCACAATGAACACAAGTGTGTTATTATCTTCAGTCTTCTTCATGGCTGACTCAGTAGTCAGAGGGAACTTGATGATGACATAGTGGTCAAGCTTGTTTCTCCTAGGAGTGCTCTTCCGAGGATATTTGGGGTGCCTCTGGAGCCTCAGAGTCTTGGGCTGCCGGAAAGTGAGTGACATGCGAATCTTCTTTTTGTGTGAGCTGTGGATGCCTTTCAGCACTGCCTTCTTGGCTTTCAATGCCTTTGTTTTGGCTACAGCTTTGGGAGGGACAGGGGCTTCCTTCTTTGCCTTCAGCGCCATCTTCGTAAAAAAAAAGGGCCTCTGTTGGTTCTTGTTTAAGTTCTGTTTTGTTGTTATTGTTGTTAATCTCATTCTTACATGTTTTTCTCACACCCTGTTACGTTTTTAAAGATGTCCTTTGTCTTCTCATCTTAGCTGGTATGGTGTGTGTGTTTATGACTTTTACCCCTATTCATTAGGGGCCAACCTTCCACCCAGGGCTGGTCAGTATAATGATAAAGAATACAGGTTCCTAATGCACGTCTGTTCAGACCATTTCCTTCTTTGACAAGTCAGTTCACTGCTCTGCTTTAATGGCTATATCTCTAAAATGGAAGGAAATAATACTACTTTTCTCATCAGGCTATGGTGAGTATTAAATGAAATCATACATGTGAAGTGCTTACCACACAGGCTCTGGCTCAATACACATTAGCTGTGTCTTTGTTGTTCCATTTTTAGGATGCCAAATATTTGTGTGATTTTCTTCTGAATCCTGAATGAGAAGATTTCAGAAGTGTGTTCTTCCTCTGACATTTCTAAAGTTGCCATATGTGCCTATCATGCTCCTGCATACAAACGGGATTTATGCACCAATGTGGGGTTTTTTATTTTGTTGTTGGTTTGGGGAGGTGTTTTTTTTTTTTGTTGTTGTTTTTTAGCAACATTGCACTAATAAAGAACAGAATAAAAAACATCTTTCATTATTCAAAGACTTAAATTTTATGAGCTTAAGATGAAAATTTCAAGCCAGGGCAATGCTAATCATAAAAATTAATTCATACCAACAGAAAGAGTTAATAAACCTAAATGCATGCAATGATTTACCAGGATTACACTGCACTTCAGAAACCAATTATACCCCATTCCTACATCTGGTAGACATGGCCCAGGTGCTCACATCAAATGAATAATGAGAGAATGTCACTTAGGCCCATCAATGTCTCCCACTGGGGCTCTTATAGCACGAAATTCAAGGAGAATAGCAGCCTAAAATCTTTGCAGCTGAAAAATCTCCTCAAAACATGTCTGAGTGAGAATAGTCAGTGGCATCTCTAGCAAATAAACAACTAAGAAAAAAAAAAAAAATGTGTTCTATGAATGGAATGCTGCTTAAAGACTGTGGATCAGCCCAATTAAAACATCAGTTGTACAACATTTGCTATGCACCTTGACAGAAAATGCAGCGCTGAATACTAATTGTGTAGTTTATTAAAATAAAATAAAAAAATTAAATCTCCAGGGCTTCAGTATTATGAAGAACTAGTGAATGAAATTGTCTATCCTCTGGGGACTCAGCAAATATATTACAAGGTCTGGCAATATTGAGCATTAAAAAGGTTTTTTAAGACTCCTGGGATCTCCAAATCATTCCATTCTCAGCTTGTTTTACTAAAAAATTGTATGTGGAGAAATGGGAGGAACTCATCTAGGTTATTGAAAGGCAATTATCTCTTCACACAGAAAGAGATCCATCTGTGACACCTGAAAAGCTTATTAAGACAATATACTAACGTGCAAAATGCTGAGCCGGTAGAAATACATTGAAAACACATTCCTTGAATAAACTAATAGGATGTAAGAATGTGAGAGAAAGTGGTATAAGAATAGTGTATTTGAAACTGAAACTGAATTGCCTAATTGAAAACCAGTGTTGTAATCATTAACTAAAAGCAGCTTATTTTGTTGTTGTTGTTGTTGTTAAGTGCTATCGAGTCAGTTCCAACCCATAGCGACCCTGTATAGGGTTTCCAAGGAGCAGCTGGTGAGCTTGAACCACTGACCTTGTAGTTCAAGGGGCTTTGCAGTCTGGCGCATTAACCCACAGTGCCACTACAACACCATCACGGAGGGCCAGCAGTGTTTCCAGGGGAATGGATCTTTGAAGGTGCAGAGGTTGGTTTGATGAACTCCAGTTATTCAAGAAGGAAATGATGGTTCCAAAGCAGTAAGACCCAAGTCACTTCAGACATAATTGTTGACATGAAAAGAGATTTGCTATTTTTTTTTTTTTTATGTCAGAGTCAAACATATATAGAGATAAACTGGGCAGTAATGCTCATGGTATAGTTTCAAGGGCCACAGATAACACCTTTATTCAAAAAGCACTCAGCTACAGTGTATTGCTTGTTATGTTCACTCTCTCCACTGATTTTCTACTAATTAGAACTTCACATGGGGGTCTCTGTGGTAGAATTCTTACATCCCATGTAGGAGAACCTAAGGAGCCTTGCTAGCCTGGTGGATTATGACCTGGGCTACTAACCACAAGGTCAGTAGTTCAAATCCACTGAGCACTCCACTGGAGAAAGATGAGGCTTTCTGTTCTCATAAAGATTTATAGTCTCAGAAACCCTATACAGGAACAGCACGGTAGCACACAATCACCACCAACAACATCCAGGAGACCCTGGTGCAATTCCCAGACAAGGTAACTTATGTACAGCTACCACCCGTTTGTCAGGGGAGGCTTATGTGTGTGACAAGGATCCTGGACAGGCTTTAGCAGAACTTCTAGACTAAAGCAGACTAGGAAGAAAGGCCTGGAGATCTGCCAAAAAGCAGCCAATGAACATCTGACGGAGCACAACAATCCTATCGGAAACTAAAAATGCACCATGAATAGGGGGTTGACTCCACAGCAGCAACAGCAACAGAAATTCACAGAAGTTCTCACATGATCTCATTTCATTCACTACTCTTCTGGAGAGCATGGGTCAGCAGCCTACTGGTCCTGCATGCTTTCTGGCATTAACTCATTTATTGTTGTTGTTTGTCACTTGTCATATTGCTCCAACTCATGAGGACCTTGTGTATAACAGAACAAGATGTTGCCTAATCCAGCACCATCTTTATGATCATTACTACGTTGTTGTTTCCTTAATTCCATTATTACTTAATTTCTGTTAGCGCCTATCTAGCATAAAGTAACAAGGAGTCTGGTGATGCTGTAGAATAAGCACTGGACTTATAACTTCAAGCCAGTGGTTCAAATCTACTAGCAGCTCTGGGGAAGAAAGATGGGGCTTTCTGCTTCCATAAAAATTTACAGTCTCAGAAACCCCTACACAAAGTCATTAGGAGTCAGAACCCACTCGACAACAGGGGGTAGTATGAAGTAAACTGTGGTAGTAGAGGTTTTCATGAGATCAAATGGGGCAAGTTAGAACATTCTGGAGCATGGGAAACATTATAAGAGAGCTACCCAAGGTGAACTTCCATAATTGGGGACTTTAGTGCCCCAGATCAGAACAAGTCATTGTGAGGATGGGTAGAGAAAAGTAGAAGGGAATATGGAAGTGAACTATGGCACTAAGACCAATAGGTGGGTTTCAGAATGAGTTGTGACAACCTTTACTCTGCTCAGTTCTGCAAATTAAGACTATGAGATTCTAAAACCATGCAGTAATAAATAATACAAATCTTTTAGGCACTTTCTTCCCTTTGCTTTGCCCTGAATATTGCAGTTGTTGTCGTTGTTATGTGCCGTGGAGTCGGTTCCGACTCATAGTGACCCTGTACAGGGTCCTTCCCTTAGCCCCACCAGCATTTTGCATGTGCTGTTTCTCTAACTATTCTTGGATGTATGCCTCTCTGCCAAACCACTGGGATCATTTGGGAAAGTAAAATCAACATTTAAAACCCAGTATCTATGGAACCTGCAAGGTTGGAAGTTCCAAGAAGTTCTCAAGCTATCTCTCTTACTCACTGGGGATATTTTTTAGCTTTTTGTTGCTGCTGCTGTTTTTTTTTTTTTTTCTCTGTACCCTGCCAAGTATGCACATCACCTAACCACAAATGAAAAAGACCTTTTGCTCCATGCAGATACTCAACCCAACCACATTCCCAGGCAGTCTTGGAGCCATCACAATGCCCTTGAAGTTCAGGGTAATGCCCTTTGGAAAACAGCATGTAGGGCTCCAAATCCTCACATGGTCTCAACGCACATCCTGTTGAGAGACTTAAGAAAGAGGCATCGCATAAGGCCAGGGAGCAAAAGAACTGGGTTTTGTGTTTTGTTTTTAAATCAGAGACAAAATATTTAGTTCTTCAAACAAAACCAACTATTATTCATCTAAAGAAGAGTTGTTGTTAAGTGCCGTCGAGTTGGTTCCGACCCATAGCGACCCTGTACAGGGTTTCCGAGGGTGTAAATCTTTACAGGCGTAGAAAGCCTCATCTTTCTCCCGCGGAGCGGCTGGTAGTTTCGAACCGCTGACCTTAAGGTTTGCAGCCCGATTCGTAACCACTACGCTACCAGAGCTGAAGAGAGTTGGTATTTATTTCCCAATTTTCTTTGGGTTTTTAGAAATTCCTTATAGTCTTTACTCCTCTAAGTCCCTTCTACACTTCCTACTCTTCCTCCCTCTTACTTTTTAAATATTGTGGTACAAACATACATTAAGACAACATTTGCCAATTCAATACTTTTGACATGTACAAGTATAATTCAGGGATATTTGTTATATTTTTCATTTTGTGTAGCATTATCGCGATCTTTATTCCGAATTATTCCACCACCATGAAATAAACTCTGTACCCCCTAAACATGTGGTACCAAGAGAATGGGGTTTTAGAAAAACAAAATCATAAGGATGAGTTTTCTAAATTGGTTCTCAAGTCTGACTAATTTTAAAGGCACTGATATAGGGTGGAGGCAAGTCTGGCGTCCACTAAGAGGAATGGGCCTTGGGCTGATTTTGAGTTTGGTCCTTTTTTCCACTTGTGGTGTTACGAGAAAAACAGATATGATTCCCCCTTGGTTTAAGCAGTTGGCGCTGTAAGCAGGACTCATTGCAAAGGCACCAGACCTATGAAATTATGAAGTTTTATAAGAGAAAGAAAGAAGGAGTACAAGGTAAAATATTTCAGCAGAGGTAAGAGCGGCAGCTTCTGGAGTTGCCTGGAATAGATTACACACTAGTTCAACAGGGCTGATGGCAAGCGAGAGTCTACTGGGATCCACTCTGCCAGAGGCCTAAAACCATATGCCTATGAATTGGGTTAGTCCTAGGAAGAAG